ATTACCCCCAAAATCAATCCCAGCATTCCCTGTGTGATATGGAACCTTGTGGTACAATTTCAAAGAGATCCATACACTTGAAAACAAGTTATTGTCTGGAAACTAGAAAAATGCTTATTTTTGGCCCCTTTTTGGCCCCTTTTTCCTAAACGTTTTGGGCAATTACCCCAAACTCAATTCCAGCTTTCCCTTTGTGATATGGAACCTTGTAGTACAATTTCAGAAAGATCCATACACTTACACACAAGTTATTGTCATGAAACTAGAAAAATGCTTGTTTTTTGCCCCTTTTTTGGCCCCTAATTCCTAATATTTTGAGGCAATTACCCCCCGAAAATCAATCCCAGCATTCCCTGTGTGATATGGAACCTTGTGGTACAATGTCAGAGAGATCCATACACTAACACACAAGTTATGTCTGGAAGTTACAAAAATGCTTATTTTTGGCCCCTTTTTGGCCCCTAATTCCTTAACTGTTGGTACCATAACCCCCAAAATCAATCCCAACCTTCCTTTTGTGGTATTGAACCTTATGGTAAAATTTCATAGAGATCCATTCACTTAAACTAAAGTTAGAGTGCGAAAACCAATGTGTCTTCGGACGACGCCGGACGAGGACGATGACGTCATACCAATATACGACCGCAAAAATTTTTACGAATTTGGGTAGCGTCACTTTTATCGTTCTTGAGTTATGTCCCTTTATAACGTTATACGCAAGCAGGGGCATCATCTGTGTCCCATAGACACATTCCCCATTTATTTAAAACTATAACATCAAATTTGCCAAATACGTAACTTTCACAATTTTCTTCTACACATCTGATGCCATTCTTAAACTTGAAGAAAGAATCGCACTTCCCTTTCCTTTACATTGGGCTATTTCAATTGTCAGATGTAAATATACAGAAGAAAGACATGAGGAGCATTAAAATTAAATAAACCATATTAAAAAGAACATATATGGTGGGGAGTTGTCTCATTGGCAAACATACCACATATTCCTATTTTCATATTATAGGCTAACATGTTTAACCCTGTCGCATTCTGTATGTCCCTGTCCCAAGTTAGGAGCCTGCAAGTTAGTGGTCATCTTTTGTTGCTGTATATCATATTTGTTTTATATTTATTTTGTACATAAATTAGGCCACAAGTTTTCTCAAATACTTTTACATGTCATTTCGGGGCCTTTTTACAGCTTGCTATGTGGTTTGTTTTTTTCTCATTGTTGAAGACTGTACAGTGACCTATAGTTGATAACTTCTACGTCATGTGATCTTTGTGGGAGAGTAATGTCTCATTGGCAATCATACCACATCTTCTAATTTACATTAACCTGGACTGATTATTAGCCACTAGTACTAAGTTAAAGTTTTGGATTTGTTACATTTGAATATTTTTGCCAGATAGAGCTGAAACTACTATATATAGTAGTCTCAGGATAGAGGGAGTGCTGATCTGGTTTGCAGTAACCAGATCATGGAAATACTTTTATACAAAGAATATTTTGACAGACTTACCTTAACTGGCGTCAGTCAGTTTTAGACGATTTTATAAAATACATGTGACAATAGATGTGTAATTGTGTGGAAAATTAAAGGTCACAATGGAATGATTTTTTTGTAAGCCCTGTATTAATTGGCCAAAGGAAGTGCCATTAATTGGGAATTAATGACCTCACGGATTATCATTAATCTCCTTCATTACACAAATTAATCAGGTATAAATGATATATTAGGACACATGTCAGACATATTGTATTTTTTTAATACTCAGTAATCTAAATGTTCATTCATATTTTTTTCAATATTGTCTTTAAGTACACTTCAAATTAAAAATTACATGAATAAAATTTTAAGCTCAAAAGAAATGTTTTACATACTGCTACATCGAAAATTGAAATCAGAATTACAAATTTATAATAAAAAGTAGTTTCAATTTGATTATATGGATGAAAAGATGGAGGTCGTTCACTGCAGAATTTAAACATCCAGGTACCGGTATATATTTAGAACGAAAATATCTTTACTTAAAAGTTTTTCGCACTTCATTAGATCATCATATTCACACCTGTAATAATAGCTGGTTCACCTGTCTAACTATACAAGTACTTGTATGCAGGATAATGTCCTCAGACAACAATACATTTGTCATCAGTTCACCTATCCTTATTATATACTAATATATCCGTCAAACAAATGGCCACACAGGTATGATCATGTCAATGAAACTGGACAACAGAGTGTCATACCACAAATCATTTGACAAAACACAAGTGTAAATCTAAATCTAAAATGCTTAAGTATTGGTCTAATCCTAACTGGTAAAGACAAAAACTGATGAAATAAATACTATAAATTCATTTTTCATTTCATGTCTCCCCTGGCATTTTTTTTACTCTTACTGGAGATCATCCTACTTTTTCCCCAATTATGCCATGTGCTTATGTTTCGTTGCCTCATTCCAAAACTGCACTATGATTGGTTAAACCCTGACAAAGTCGGACATCCAAGTTTCAAGAAAAATAATATGAGATTCTATTCCAAGAAGAAAACTTGGATAGTGACAACAGGACTTTTTTGAACACAATATTCATCAGACTTTTTAAAAATTCACAATCACTGAGGTTCAGGCCAAATTGAGGTCTATATGTTCCATCTTGTTATTGGAGAGGATTTATCTAACAGACTTTGCATGTTTTCCAATTCCCTTTTGCTATTATTATCATTAAAACAAAATTGAGGCAAAAATTTTCAAATACACGTTACATGTATAAATTATAACGGAAACAGCAATGAAACAAGTTTCTTTAAAAATTATGCCCAAACAGAAATTACTTGCCGTCAAAGTTATATTGAATTTTAATTAACAGCCGTCAATCAGGCCATGCAGGCAAAGTGTGTCTTACTTCACCTTGCCAAGCTGGCAAAATACCTTTGACGCCAACTGGTCTAAAAGACAAAAACTTTTGATTTCAGCTGATAAAGTAGGAAATTTGATCTTAGTTAATGTCACCAGGTAATTCTTGAAGGTAATTCACTTTTGAAGTCAGCTGGCACAGTAGGCAAATTTATATTGATGTCAGATGACAAAGTGAAGAAAGAAATTTTGATTTCAGCCAACTAAAAAGATGAAGCTGCATTTGACTCTAAAAGATACAGTCTGAACCATAGGCCATTAGTCATGTTAGTCCCATGCCCCTGACTAGTAATAATTTTTTTTCAGACTAGTAAGTATTTGCAAAACTTTGTTTAGACACGTAAGAAAAATATTAGAATATTGGTTTTCAGACTAGTAATTGGAGAAGATTTTGGTGTAGACTGCAGAGGACTCTAGAGAGCAAAGCAGGCAAGTTAATTTTGACTTCAGATTTTAAAGTAAGAAAGCTAATTTTGTGATGTACTAAGGAAATAGCCCAACAGACAAGTCATTTTTGACTTTAACTTGCAAAGCAGGCAAGCAACTTTTAAAGTCAGCTTAAGCAAAATTTAATTTACTGACACATGCAACGGGAAGAAAACTTAATTATTTATTTGAAAAAATTATTCACAGACTATAACTACATCCACTTGTGTTAATTTCAAACACGGACATATATTCTATGAACCACAAATAACTACATATGAAAGTAAGTTACAGTGAGGTACTCTTAAATTACTTGATCTATTTTAAACAAAAATATTGTAAAAATAAGAAAGAAAACTTCCTTGAACTCTGCTACTGTACATTAAAATGTAGTTATAATTCAAGTGAACTCATCTATGTCGAAACAAGAAATTGCTGATCTGATTGTAACCTTTCTTCCGTTCCCATACATTAAACTTTCATCAAATACAAGTGTTATGAATCGTTTGTATTATATTGTAACCTTGGAACATATTTCTTAATATATGTTTCATTTTTCAATTCTGAATCCATTGTATTTTACAAATAAAAACATCTGATCCAAATTTGCTGAAGGTGTTTTCTTGATAAATTGGAAAAAGTTATGCCTAAAACTGAAGCTTTTTTGATGTGCATACTGTTATATATAGAGTTTATGACTTGATAATATTCCATCTTTCCCTTTTTCTCATTTCATCTTCATTTTATATCACCCATTTCATGTTTATTGCCTTGGCTTTACAATTGCCTATTTGTGCCATAGGGGCATAAAACACTTTACAATCAGAATGGGTTTTTGCTCATTGTTGAAGGATGTATGATGACCTTTATTAGCTAAAATCCACGTCAATTGGTCTCTTGTGGAGAGTTGTCTCATTGATAATCATACCACATCTCCTTATTTTTATAATTAATCAATCATTTACAAATGATTAAAATATTGGGCGTCTTCACAGGCAAAAGGTTAAATATAGAGCAGTTTCATGAAAAGGTGCTGAACCATTTATGAAAGACGGCATGGTGATCTCTAGATATCAATTTTGGGTCACTTTTTGTAGTTGGGCTGCTGTCTCATTTAATTTGATTCTAAATTTAGTTTTATTCAAATTATAAAGCTTTCAAATATCAATAAAACAAGATAAGGATTCATGTTAATGAGTCAGAAACCCAACACTGTAAAGCAACAAAATTGAACATGTACTGTCTGAGTCTGTCATCTGTTAAAATTACCCTTCATGTACATAGAAAGCTTAGAAAATATCAATATGATCAACACTTTGCAATATATTCTGCTGATGTAAAAGTTAAAACTTTAACCTGACCAAAATGAAAAACAATTGAGGTCAAATAAAGGTCAAGATCATAAAATGTTAATGTCAACTTCTTGTAACAACTACATTAAACTTAAAATCAAGTATTTCTATAAATGAGTCTAACTAGCCAGGCAAGCAATCCCTACTTCAGCTGATGTTGTGTCAAACTAAACAAGGAGGCAATCCCTTCTTAAAATACCCCGCCTCAATTTTAAAACCCACCAGGTCATCATAAAGGCTAAATTTATCAAATCTGATGGACCTTATCACCCCTGTAGACTAGAACCATAAAATGGTCTTTACCTGGTTTGTTTGAGAACTTTGATCTATTAGTGACTGCTAACAGTACTTTTTTCCCATCTGATATTTGTCTATTCCTTTTACAATCCTTGCATGAATCAGCAGTTTCCTCTAGTTTTATTCTTTGGATACTATCTTCAAAAGATGCCATTGTTCTTTGTAGTAGTTTTCCAAGATCTTCATCAGACCTCATTTTAAATCGATTGGACCATTCCATATTCAAAACATTTGCAATTTCATTATTTTTCCTTAAAATCACATCACGTAATCCTTGTAAAGAACAATATTTAACAGCAAGCTGTATTTGACCTCCAGATGACCTTCTGATGTAAATATATTGTTGCCCTGGTAACAGTTGTTTGGTGTCCTGCAGATGAATTATAATAGATCCTTGACAACACACTGGCCACTGAAAAGTGCTAAGACATCCTGGTTCTTGGAAATTCTGCAAATAAACCCAAACGGCAAACCAATTAGTAAATTTGTCTTCTTAATCATGAATCATACCAATTTAAAATTATAATTCAAGTCGTTGTAGCCTCAGATTTCAAAATCAAAATAAAAAAACTCAAATGTGGAACTGGTTTCAACCAAGGGTTTTATTGTTTATAAAGGACTGTTAAAAGTATACTCTGATGTCACAACTAGATCTTAAAATGGAATGTTAAATCTACACAAAGTTCCTTAGAAAATACACATATCCTTTACTTTATACATGTAACATCGTTAATGCATGTCATGGTATCTAGTAATATTGCATTTTCTTTCTGTAATTTCATACTTTAGTTTTAATCCAAATGGTTTTATTTCTTTTAATTAACAAAACTACATTTTTTTTTTCAAACAATACAATTATAATCTCTGCTCTGATCATCATGACCTCAGTATAAAATAACCAAAGTACTCTAATACATGTTTAGTCATTTGTAGTGACAATGTTAGTTTTGTTTTTATATTTGATTTAAATAAGGTCTACGAATGGAACCTAGATTGAACTAAATGTAAGACGTAATAACCGATTTCATTTTAAAGGTACAAATTCACCCAGTTTAACTACAACGGGAATACCTTCAAAAAAACAAAATGATATTCTAAATTGAGAACATGTATCATTTTAAAACTCTCAAGAGTCATCTAGGAGAGATGTACACTGATAACAAAATTAACAAGAATACAATAAGATACATAAAGGGAAATAACTCCTTAAAACAACAATAGACCTACATCCTAATTCTACCACTGCATCAAGTGGATTGTTATATATACAATGGATCTAATGGTAAAATCTGTTTGTTTTTGACAATTGCTGACACTGTCAAGTGCAGAAAGGAGTCAATCTAATACATTTATTTTTGCAGCTGAGCCTGGTCAAAGATATTCTTATTTCAATTACTTTTACAATCAAAACTCAACTATATATAAGTAAACTAATCATTCTTTGGTAATTCAACTCTGTGAAATCTGAACTTTCTTCCTCTATTTTGAACAAAATCTTAGGTTTGGAATGGATTGGGTTCATATGAAGTACAATTATATATGAATTATACATACATACAAAATTGTTTAGCCATAAATTTACAGTTGTTGAAAAGCCTTAACAAAATTGAACAAATTAATTTGAAATAAAAACAATCCATCTTACCTTTGTTGGTTAATAATAGAAATCAACAGCTTTGTAATTCATTAGCATTCTAACAATATGCCCTAACTGTTAATGTTCAAACATGCATTTCACCTTTAATCGGATCAAAGAATTAATACTATTTACTTGAACATATCTTTTTCTATATCAACCTTATCAAAGATCAATTAATATGCAATACAGTTATGAAATGAAATAAACAAATGGCTATTTTATACAAATATTTTCCTATGCCAAAATCCAACAAATTACTATTCTACAAAATCAACATCATTTCAATCTGTCTGGTATAGATCTTTAAACAGATAACATTTGATTGAACTTGTTATTGGAGTATAGATTTTGTTTTCTTATAAAACTTCATAAAGGTTAAAAATCTTCAAAATTTCCCAAGATTTCCATGAGAAAAATTAGACCAAAACCAAACAGGTGCACAGTTTTAAACTTTAACCACAGACCCAACAGTCCAAGCTTGTACCAATTCCATTGTTCCTGTAACAATGTTTTTTAGAAATCAATATAAAAAATGAGTGGAGCAGTATATTGTAAAGACTTGGTGTAGAATGATAATGTATATATATTATCATTAGTTTATGTTACCTCAATAAATACACACATTAGGCATGAACTGACAACTCCCACACATTAAGCATGAACTGACAACTCCCACACATTAGGCATGAACTGACAACTCCCACACATTACACATGAACTGACAACTCCCACACATTAGGCATGAACTGACAACTCCCACACATTAGGCATGAAATGACAACTCCCACACATTAGGCATGAACTGACAACTCCCACACATTAGGCATGAACTGACAACTCCCACAAATTAGGCATGAACTGACAACTCCCACACATTAGGCATGCACCAACAACACACACACATTAGGCATAAACTGACAACTCCCACACATTAGGCATGAACTAACAACACCCACACATTACACATGAACTGACAACTCCCACACATTAGGCATGAACTGACAACTCCCACACATTAGGCATGAACTGACAACTCACACACATTAGGCATGCACCAACAACACACACACATTAGGCATGAACTGACAACTCCCACACATTAGGCATGAACTAACAACACCCACACATTACACATGAACTGACAACTCCCACACATTAGGCAGGAACTGACAACTCCCACACATTAGGCATGAACTGACAACTCCCACACATTAGGCATGAACTAACAACACACACACATTAGGCATGAACTGACAACTCACACACATTAGGCATGACTAACAACACCCACACATTACACATGAACTGACAACTCCCACACATTAGACATGAACTGACAGCACACACACACACATAAGGCATAAACTGACAACACACACACATTAGGCATGAGCTAACAACACACACACATTAGTCATGAACTGACAACTCCCACACATTAGGCATGAACTAACAACACACACATATTAGGTATGAACTGACAACACCTACACATTAGGTATCAACTGACAACTCCCACACATTAGGCATAAACTGACAACACACATACATTAGGTGTAACTGACAACACCCACATATTAAGCATGAGCTACCAACACCCACACAGTAGGCTTGAACTGTCAACACCCACACATTAGGCTTGAACTGACACTAGGTACATTATGCAAGAGTTACAAAATTACAGCATTAACAAAATGCATTCAAGATATTTTTCATCATTTCCCATATTGTTTCCTCATTTTCTACAGAATTTTAAAGATAACATACAAATTCACCGACTTACTTTCCTAAAATAAGCAAAATCAAAACTCAGGTTTGGAAACAGGAATTTTGGGAATAAAATGATTGCCTCTGTGATGAAATTTCTTTCATTATTATTATTCTCTTATTGACTTAAAAACCACAGCAATATTATATAAACGTTTGTTAAAAAATTACCTTTTCATGAGTTTATTCTGTAAAGTTACAATTACACTTTAAAAAATTCAAAAAATTGACATAATTATTAACTTTAAATTCTAAAATTTTCTGTACCATTGGTGGTAACCCAAATACCCCTATCTTTTAAATCATGCAAGATTGAAATATTTTCACAATAAGTTAATACATCAATCTGGTTATTAGAAAGAAAAGGTTTGCTATCATGTGACAAATCATACAATAGAAAAGGTTAAAGGTGGTGGTATTAGGGTTACACTCCTACCAACTTAAATATTGTAATTGTGTACTAAAAACTGACCAATTTTCTTATGTATTCTTAGACTTTATAAATAAATAAATTGTTTAGTAAGAAACTTAAATCTGCAGAGTTCACAGCATTATTCCAATATATAAACGGAGAATTAATAGCATTATTCCAATAAGTTAAAGATAAAATTACAGGAAAGAATCATGACACTTTTTTGTGCTTATGTCTAAAAATCTGGCAAAATGAAATTATATGAATGACAAGTAAGGATATGAAATATATAATTTTGACTTAGCACAGTTTCAAAAATTTTATTTTTAAATATTGAGCCGGCTTTAATATTTATCAACATCAGTCTATGATTTGATAACCTCAAAAATCTTTTTACTGATAAATGTTCAGCCCTGTCAAGAGTGCTTTAACAGGCAACAACTCAATTTGTAGTCGTCAAATCTTGAGAGCATAAATGGAGATTTTCTTTCCAACAGCCTACTTTTGTGCACATTGTACAATGTGTTTCAAATGATAACAATTTTAGATACTCATATTGTTTTTAATCCAAATAAAAAACACAAGTATCTCATATTCTGTGTCATACAAACCAAATTTTGTGGTCTGCAGTTTTATGTTAATTTAATAAAATTATCCAAATTTCAAATACCTTTATTTATCTTTTTTTCTCATTTTTGTACATAAAACACTTGTTACTTATTATCCTTGAAGGTTCTTGCTGTTACAAAAATTAATATCACCTTTCATTCCAAATCATCTTACATTTGTCAAAATATTTTAAACAAAGTCAAGCTGTGTGATTTTATACAAAACAACAAAAGGCCAATTCCTTTTTGTCGCTTCAATTTTTTGCCTAAATGATATTCAACTATACATTCAATAACTGTTGAATAAATGAATAATATCAAATGATTTTTAATTCTTATGATAATTTTTTAATGGTATCAATTGAATGCTCCTAGTTAAATTTTTCATTGATGAAATCATTGCACATATCATTAAACAAAATCAGTTCCCATCATTCTTCTACCTGTAACCAGGGGTACAGACACAACCCCCCTTTTCTGTCTACATTACTAGATAAACACAGGGATATAATATACTGTAAAAATTAAATTCTCTACCCCTATAAATACCAATCAGAACTGCTTGAAGCAGGCCAGATTCTTTATGGCTTTCTTATAGTCATCAACAGGTTTTTTTTATCAGATTTTTGAATTTACAGATGCAGTTTTAAAGTTTTTCCCTATCTTATCATTTGACCAATGGAAGATTTTCTCCTTTAACTTATAATTTTGCAAAATTATCTTCAGAGAATATTTGAGCTGTTCTAATTTTCATTCTGAAAACTTTCATTCATTCAATATTACATAAATTGCTGAACAATTTATTCTTCAAAAAATTATTATTTTGCATATTTCGTAAAAAGTAAAAAAAAATCTCCTACCTTAATTCTATAAACCTATGCAAAATATAACCAGTTCAAACCATCCACTACACAGGTGACAAAAAAATTAAAACGATTGTGTCGATGAGATCGTAAACTCCTCACAATAATAAAAGATGTTATGTCTCATACTAAAAACATTGACAAGTTTTTATCTGTTAA